TCCTTCCTTCCTTCCTTCCTTCCTTCCTTCCTTCCTTCCTTCCTTCCTTCCTTCCTTCCTTCCTTTCTTTCTTTCTTTCTTTCTTTCTTTCTCTGTTTCTCCCTCCCTTCCTTCCTTCCTTCCTTCCTTCCTTCCTTCCTTCCTTCCTTCCTTCCTTCCTTCCTTCCTTTCTTCTTTTCTTTCCTAGACAGGGTTTCTCTGTGTATAACAGTCCTTGACTGTCCTGGAACTGTTTTGTAGACCAGGCTAACCTCGAACTCACAGAGATCTGCCAGCTTCTGCCTCCCGAATGCTGGGATTAAAGGTATATGCCATCACCACCTGGCACCCTTTGTCATTTCTGATGGAGATGCTCAGTGTACTTTCAAATCCCAAACTCCCCACTTAATGAGTTTAGAAAAATGCTTCCTTATGGTAACTAAGAATTTGATCCTGGTGTGGTTGCTACCTTAGAATCATTGCTGTTTAGAAATTTGATAGTCTTGGTCTTCTTTTTTTTTTTTAAAGATGTGAAGTATTCTTGAGATTTGGTTCAAAGATATCTTTGAAGTTGAAATATTAACAGCCCTGAACTAAATTGCTGTTTCTTCTAAGTCTGTATCAGCAGAACAGGTCAATCGCCCTTGCCACTATTAAAGGAATATTTGTGTTTTATGGGAAAATAGCTTAAAAGTTATCCAATATAATTGCAGTGCTTAGAAATAACTACTACTAACAGTTGGGATTAAGTCTCCCACACTTATCTCTAATCATTATCTTTTATGGAAACGAGGAGCTATATACACATGCACACATATAGTTTATGTCCGGTTTTTTGTTTTTTTGGTTTTTCTGGTTTGTTTTTTTTTTTGAGACAGGGTTTCTCTGTGTAGTTTTGGTGCCTGTCCTAGATCTCACTCTGTAGACCAGGCTGGCCTTGAACTCACAGAGATCCTCCAGGCTCTGCCTCCTGAGTGCTGAGATTAAAGGCGTGCACCACCACCACCCGGCCTTGTGTCCTGTTTTTGTATGGTGTTACTATGACTTTTATTTTGTTTAGAGATCATAATTTTAAGTAATTAATTGGCTAATTAACTAATGCTACCATAAACTGGCCATAATATGTAGTTGCTCACTGTGATTAACGATTGAACTCAACTTTTAGAAATTTAAATGATAGCTGTATTTTCTAAGACAGTAAAAATCATTGTTTTCATTTCTGGTTATTTAGGATTCTCAGATAATTGTGTCTTAGGGTTTCTATTGCTGTGATGAAACATTGTGACCGAAAGCAAGTTGGGGAGGAACAGGTTTATTTGGCTTATGCTTCCACATTGTAGTCCATGATTGAGGGAAGCCGGGACAGGAACTCAAACAGGGCAGGAACTTGGAGAAAGGAGCTGATGCAGAGGCCATGGAGGGGTGATGTTTACTGACTTGCTCCCTCTGGTTTGCTCAGCCTACTTTCTTACAGAACCCAGGACCAGCAGCCTAGGGATGGCACCACCCACAATCACTAATTAAGAAAATGTTTTGTGGGCTCACCTCGAAGCTGGATCTTCTGGAGGCATTTTTTAAAACTGAGGTTCCCTCCTCCCACATGACTTAGCTTGTATCAAGTTAACACAAAACTATTCAGCACAAATTGGGCAGGAAGGCATAGGTAGTCATTAAAGCAGAAAGGCTCATGAGTTGAATTATCTCGTTTGAGCTGAAGCACTGAGGGTGTAATTCTCATAAAAAATGGGAAAAAGTAATGGGAGAAGTTATAGCCATGGCCTTCTGGCCTTTTTCCAGCTTACCTCGAGCTTTATCAGAATATCAGAAGACAGATATTCTGGTTCTGCCACAAACTCACTGAACCAGGATCTTGAGAACAGATTTTTAAAAGATCTGTAATCAATCTTCAGGCTGCTTGGATACGCAGAGTTGAGAGCCACGGGTGTAGAGCCATGAAAGGTTAACAGTGAAAGGACCTTACCTACTCTCGAAGTCCGGGGAACTGGAGTCCGGGGCCCGTTCCATTTTCCTGCAGCGTTTGCCCTCGCCTGCTGCACTGTGTGGCGGCTGCACTGACCTGCTGCTGTTTCTCACCTGACTGATCTCCTGCCAGCCCGTGTTGGGTGACTGGCTCTATGCTCCCCCCAGAGTCTCCCTTCTTTCATACAAATCCATGCCTTTAACAGTAGTATAATCCTCCATCTGCATAGCTCTGTGGGTCTCTGTTGCCCATATTTGTGTCCTTTTCAGAATTTCATAATTATCTTCATATGACATGTCTCATTTGTTACATACTATTTTGTTACATGCTATTTCAAGCATGTCTTCCTTTGTTCACCCAAGTCCTTCTTTAAGGACTGGGTGCCAAGTAGATATTTAACTTAGTTCTCAACCATTACTGGCCAGCCCTTACTCCTTTCTAGGTTTTCTGTTATTAGGGACAGTCTTACTATGCAGCCCTGGCTGGCTTGGAATTCTCTATGTAGACCAGGCTGGCTTCAAACTCACAGAGATCCACCTGCTTCTGCCTCCTGAGTTAACAGTATGAGCCACCATGCCTGGTCTCAGAGAATGTTTTTAATGTGTATAGGTCCCTGTACACTGTACAGTTCTTTGAACCATCATGGCCCCTATCCACTAGATATGAGTAATGTCCCCCATTGTGACACCCCAAACCATCTCCAGACACAGCTGTCCTCAAGGGACAGTCACTCCAGTTGAGAACCACTGCTTCACTTCAGTCACCTTGTGTATATTTTCAGCTCAGGATATGCTGTGATTGCAACAGGAGGATTAATTCTGACACTGAATGCAGAAAAGGAATCTAAATCTCACCCAGAAATTGCCATACACAGACTTGTCATTTCCAGTGTTAGCAAGAGATAGCCGAGACCTTCGACCTGAACATTCCTCAAGCATTTGAATCCATGGCTTCACCTGATATTTTCTTTTGTGGTAATATTGATAAAACAGTGTGGATCAAAGCAAATAATCAGGGCATCTCTTGATTAAATTCCCAAGAGGGGCTCCGTTCTATTACTTCTCTCCTACAGAAGGCTTCTGTGGTTCAAATGGAAATCAGTATAAGAATCAGCTTAGAACATTAGTCTGCCAACTCTCACTGAGTGTGGATTGGGGCACTACACAGCTAGGAACTACATTTTGACCAAATAAAGTGAGACGTTTTTCTTGTTTGATAAGGTTGATTTTCTTTTCTTTTATCCTCCCTTCCACCGGGATAGCAGATATTTTAGACATTTCAGAATGTACTTCATATTTCCTCCTTTAATGTCTCTAGTTTTAAAGGTTTCTTATGAAATAGGGGGAACTGGATTGTAATATCATCGACTTGTGAAACCCCATAAATAAAGCCTAGGGCTCTGTTACCTTTGCCCTTATAACCTAGATAGTAACCTAGGACTTTTGACTCCAAAGCCAGGGCTTTCTTTTACTTAATCAAATTGTACTCGGTTGAATGATTTTTGCCAGTAAAAACAGTTGGATCATTGTTTAGAAATTGTGAAGAAGAATTATGCAACTGAAGG